CGCTAGCCTAAAACATGAGACTACCTCTAGTGGGAGGTGGGTTAGAAAACAGGCTATGGATAATGACATGCAATCCTACTATTAGCAAATTTTTAATGAATATACATGGGTAGTGTGTATGACCACACATACAACACGCTCACATGTTGAGAATGCACGTGTATCCAGGTGTGAATGCATTCCTATGGCAGCCAGAGGTTGGCATCGTGTCTTCTTAGATGATTCTCTACCTTGGGTCTGTCACTTGAACCTAAAGCTTGCCAATTTAGCTAGTCTAGCTAGCCAGTTTATTTGGGGATCCTCTGTCTCTAGCTCCGGAGCACTGGGATCACAGGCGGTTACCCAGCATTTGCCTGGTGCAAAGTATCTGAACTCTGGTCTTCACGCTTGCTCAGCAAGCATTTTACCCACTGAGCCATCTCCCTAGCTGCTCCCTCATTCTTCCTTCGGGGACTTATGCCTGCACTCAGAAGCCAGACTCCAAGTGACCAGCATCACGTATCATATGGTCCAAATCATACCCAGATATGGAGCAGGAACAAAGTACAGCCTGAGGAGGAGCCTGGAGATAGGCTAGTGGCCATCGGCGTAGGGGCCATCTTCCACCTGGTAGATCAGAGTGTGGAGCAGCATTTACATTGGAACAAAACTCAAACTGCTGATCTAGGCCCACTAGAAAATTTGCAAAAACTAGAAAAGTCCTCCACATCCGTCAGCAAGTCCAAGATAAAAGTTATCTATGGCTGGAGAGAAACAGCTCGAGAACTGGCCACTCGTCCCAGCACCCACACAACTGTTCATAACCCTAACTCCAGGTCTGGGGGATCCAAAGCCCTCTTCCAGCCTCCTCAGGCACCAGGCATGCTGCACTACACAGTCATACATGCAGGCAAAACATCCACACGTATATTTTTTAATTGGAAATAATTTTAAAGCCAGGTGGTAGTGGCGCACACCTTTAATCCCAGTACTGGGGAGGCAGAAGCAGGTGGATCTCTGTGAGTTCGAGGCCAGTCTGGTCTACAGAGCTAGTTCCAGGACAGTTAGGGCTGTTACACAGAAAAACCCTGTCTCAAAAAACAAAATAGTAATAATAATTTTGAAAGTGTTTTGTTGTTTTTGTTACTCATGGCAAAATTAGGTTACAAGGAGGAGCCCCAGTGCCCACTACACTGGGTTGGACTAGAAGCTGCAGTTACAGCCCCAGTGTTACAGGATAAAACTTTGTGTTCCCAGCCTGGTCTACAAGAGCTAGTTCCAGGACAGGCTCCAAAACCACAGAGAAACCCTGTCTCGAAAAACCAAAAAAAAAAAAAAAAAAAAACAAAAAACTTTGTGTTCCATAAACAAAAAAAAAAAAACGCTTTACATATGAGAAATATCTCAGATATTTGGAAAATATTTAAAATAATGTACTTAATCTCTATACACTACATCCAACATTAACAAATCTTAATTTGTAATTACCTGACTTGAGTTTAAGTAATATTAAGTATAATTAAAGCTCTTTGCATACCAGTCTTAGTCCATGCCTCACCTTCTCTACCCAAAGATAAGCACTACTTGTGAATTTTTGTAGTTCCCATGCATGTGCTTACATTACTATACATATATAACCACAAACAGTCTTGGGTTTTCAAAATATACAAGTGGAAAAAATCTGCAAAAATTCTTGTGGGATTTGTGTTCCCAATCCGTATCAAGTTTCTGATATACATCCACTTTAATGCATTAGCTATAATTTACTGGGGTGGAGGGCTGAGACAAGTTTTAAGTAGCCCGTGCTGGCTGTGAACTTGTTCTACCTCTAAGTACTAGAATTTCAGGTATGTGACACCACTGCTGCTCTTATTTATTTTTTCACAGTGCTGTAACGTTCAGTCGTGTGGGGCCTTGGGCGTGTATTCAGTGTGAGAATGAATGCACATGTTTGCAGGTATCCTGCACACACATGCTCATGTGAAAGCTGGAAGCAGTGTGGATACCTGGGACATCTGCCACTGTTCACCAAATTTTTTGAGGCAGAGTCTCTCACTAAATCTATAGCTAGACTGGCTAGCCATTAAACCCACAGCAGACACCTATCTCCACACTGCCGCCCCTACCCCAATATTAGGGCCTGCAGGCAAACGCTGCACCAGCTGGCTTTTACAATCCAAAGCTGGTTCTTCATGCTTTCAAGGCAAGCACTTTACCTAGAGACCCACCATCTCTTCAGTCTGTACAAGGAAAGGTCTTTCTAAAAATTGATGTATGGCCCTATTGGTGCCATCCACAGTGGAGCTGCAATAGAATTCTTGTACTTCTTTTGTATTTATTATTGTCTTTACACATTTTAGATAGATGGGCATGTCAACCAGCTGTCAACTAGATATTTGTTACACTACTACTCTCCAAGGTGGTTTGTACACACTTACATCCCCACCAACAGTATATAAAAGTACAATCCCTTAATCCCAGACCTCAAGAAGCAGGGAAGGTTGATCTTTTTTGTAAGTTCAAAGCCAACTTTGTCTACACAGCAAGTTCCAGGCCAGCCAGAACAACATAGTGAGACTCTGTCTTTAAATCAAAGTGTTTTTCCAGGGCTGGAAACATAGTTTTACGGCAGAGTTCTTGCTTACATTTGTGGGAGGCGCTAGGGTCTATCCCCAGCCTGAGGACAGCAAAGCACAAAAGAAAACTGTCCTACAGTCTCACTACTGCTCACCAGGGCACTTCCGTTCTGCTGGCTGATAGGCGGGAAAGGGCTTGTACTGCTGTACAGGCTGAACTTGTCTGGTCACAGGTCAGGTCTTTGATAAATATTTTTTTCCTTTTTTCTTTTTTGGTTTTTTGAGACAGGGTTTCTATGTGTAACAGACCTAGCTGCCCTGGAACTCACTCTGTAGACCAGGTTGGCCTCGAATTCACAGAGATTCACCTGCCTCTGCCTCCCAAGTGCTGGGATTAAAGGCCTGCGCCGCCAGCACTGGGCCAAATAAATTTCCTTATACATATATGTGCATGTTATGTAGACCTATCTGCTAAATATGTTTCTTCTAGTCAGGATTTGTTTGTACTAACAATCTACCTTCTTATTACACTTCAAAACAGGATCTTGAGGCTGGAGAGATGGCTCAGAAGTTAAGATCACTGACTGCTCTTGCAGAGGGCCCAGGTTCAGATCCCAGCACCCACATGAAGGTTCACAGCAGCCTGTAACTCCAGTTCCAGAATATCTGACACCCTGCCCACCCTCCGTGGGCACCGCATATATGTGATGCACATACATACCTGAAGACAAAACACATACATGCGCGCACATAAAATAAATCTTTAAACACACACACAACACAAAACAAAATTCCAGGATCTTCCTGAGTTGACCAGGCTTCAAACTGGCTGGCTTCCTACTTGCTGTGGTGACTAGCGGGTCTGGATCTCTCAATCCCTCTACAGCAGTCTCTGCACAGCCCTGCCAGGATTACAACCCCAGGGCACCCTTCCAGCAGCCAAGGTGTAAAGCTCCGGTAAAGTGCAGGACAGTAAAGAAAGAGCCAACTTGAAAGAGTCAATCTGGACAAAGGCCTTAATTGCTAATTGCTAATTAGTCTCGCTCTTCCTTCTTTTGTCAAGCCTTACTTCCAAGACAATACTGGAGGCACTTTGGGGCCTGGATCCTTAGGGGTGAGAAGGAAGGGAGGATGCTAAGGCCAGCCTGGGTCTATAAAAATATTACAACTGTCCTTACCCAAAGAACACGAAACCTGTCAGACCCATAGGTACACTCAACATTGTAGACAGCATTCAGCTCACAAGCACTCATTTCAAACTTATCACATTTAGTTTCCTCTTTGAAGCATCTCAATCTTCTACCCTCCTCCCTCCCCTTCAGCAATCCCTTTATCTCCTTTTCCCCATTCCACGGTTGCTATTGGACTTTCTTCAGCACCTGCTATCTGTTTGCTGCTTTTTCCTTCTCTGGAACTGACCTCCTCTCTCCTTTTCTAAGACGCACTCAGAGCAAAAGCAACTCACCTAATCATCCCAAATGAAAACGGATTTCTCCTGCATTGTCTAGCCGGCAGGAGAGGGACTTGTCTCAACCCTCCCAACTTCCTTCCCCCTTCAGGCCTGGGACAGCTGCTCTTCCTCTGGAAATTCTCCTAAGTGGGTAAGTCCAGACCAGCTAGAAAAAAAAAAAAAAACCTCGCGTGGCCTTCTGTGGCATGCATGCTTTTACCAGGGCCAGGTATGTATTTCTGTTCGGGGCAGTTTCCTGGAAGACACCTTCTGAGCAGGCCTCCTTCCCCATTCCCGCTGGGCTAACTTAAGCCTGTGCAGTGATGAGACGGGTGACCTAGAGACCAACCGGTCCCTGAGATAAGTTTCCAAAGCTCTCATCCACTCCCTCAATAAAACCCTCTCGGAGCACAGAGACCCCCACCCCCGGCAGGAGTCTTTCTCCCTCCAGCTCCCCAAATCAGCTTCCCAGGGCACCAAGCTCCCAAGGCTGCTCCCGTTTCTCCTTCCCACCCCTCCTGATCAGCCCAAAATGGGTTAGCTACCCTGGTGGGTGTGCCAGGGAGCAGGCCCCAGCCCCGTCCTCCCAACCACTCTAGTTCTCAGGGGGTAGGGACTCTGCCTCCTCCCAGCCCCCTCAGCCAGCGGCCCGCGCCAGCTCCAGGGTGGCCCTGGTTCCTAGCCAAACCACGACTCGAGCTGGCTTTTGTGACCTTGGGCAAGTCACTTCCCCCGGTAAGCCTCAGTTTCCTCCCCGGCCGAAATGAGTCCTCCCGAGGTCCTGCCCTGCCCACCCCGCTGGAGGGGGCTGCCCAGCGGGTGCGAAAACGCTTTGTGAGGCGCTCAGCCCTGCAAAGGTGCGGGGCTCCCGGGGGCTCCCGGGCTGGACAAAGCTGTGGCGGCCAAGGCTCCTCCCTCTCCGCGGGACCCCTGCCCCGGGCTGACCCTCGCCCCTCCCCACCCGGCCCGCCCCGCCCCGCCGGCGGACCCCGTACCTGCTCCGGACGCTCTGCCGCAGGCGCCGCCACCCTGCGTCCCGATCCGAAGAGGCCCGTGGCCCGGAGGGCTAAGGCGGCCGGCGGCGGCAGGCTCGGGCCGGGGCGGTGGTGGCGGGGGGCGCGGGCGGCGCGGGGGCCCGAGCTCGGCGGGGCCCGGCCTGGGAGACGACGGCCGAGGCTGGAAGTGCGCGGCGGCGGCAGCAGCAGCTGAGGTGGCGGCGACCGCGACTGCGGCGGCGGCGCTTCCGCTCATGGCGGGGCCGCGGGCAGCAGCTCGGGCTGCGACTCGACTCCGGCACGGCGGGCGCTGGCTGGGCCCGGGCCGGCGGCGAAGGAGGCTGTGGCGGCGACGGAGGCGGCTCCCGGCGGGCCAGAAGGCGGAGCCCGGCCGCGGCGGAGGGGGCGGGGACGCCGGGGGGCGGGGAGGCCGCGCCGCGCCGCCAATGAGCGCCAGACTCCCGGCCGCGGCTCCCGGGCGGCGTCCAGAGGGGGATCCTCGGCCGCCGCGGCCCTCCCAGGCGGGGAGCCCCCGACCGAAGCCCTCCGCACGGGCACCCCCCTACCGCGCGCCGCCCCGCCTCCGGCCCGCCCCCGGGGCGCGGCCGCGAGCCTCAGGGCCCAGGCCGCTCGCTGCGCAGGCCCTGCCGCTCCGCCGCCTCGGGCGGTGTCTGCTCTGGGGAGTGTGCCCGGGTCCGCCCGGGGTAGCCTCAGCCCGCCCGGCGTTCCGCGGCCTGCGCTGCCCTGGCCTGCTTCCTGCTGTTGCCCCCTGCACGTCGGTCCTCCCTCTCGGCTGTTTCCTCAAAGTTTGTGCTTTTGAGACACTTAGGAAAGAAACTCTCCCTTCGCTTCTGAGGCTGATTGGTGATAGATGAGACTCCGCGGACCCCCAAAGGACCGCAGAGGCGGAGACCGAAGAGTTGGAGATGAGCGCCCTTTCCTGGGTCCTGGAGACCCATTTTGAATTCCCAGCAAAACCCAGTCGGGCTCAGCCCTGGTCCTCACCCCCATCTCTGACTTTCTCTTCCTCTTTCTCACTTTAAATGTCCTTGTTGGTAAAGCCCTGGCAGGAAGCCGTCCAGGCAACTGGGCCTAATCTCAGAAGAGGGAGAGGCTGTGAGTGAGGAAACACTTGGGGCTTGGCTGTACTGAAGGCTTTCCTATTATTTGGGGAAGATTTCTGCGGATTCAGAATCTCCCCTTCCGCCCCCGCTCACGCCCTCCCACCCCCACCGCCCGCTTGTCCTCTTTTTCTCAAAAGTGATGTTGGCGACTGAACCTATTTCCTTTCCATCCTTCTCTGGCCCTCGTTATCCGTGGAAGAGCAAAATAAACTCAACCATGTGCTGAGTGCCTCCAAGTGCAGGCACGTGGGTAAGAGTGCCGCTAAACTGCTGGCTAGATTGTTTTAGTCAAATACTTGCAAATCAAGGCGGGGAAGGCAAAGTGGGCGATCTTTGGCCACTGGAGTTGAAAAGAGACAGTTCAACTCCACCTTGACACTAGATGATGCATTGTTTTTCATCTCTCTGGTCATTAGCAACGCTCGAAAATGGAGAAACGATGATAATAAAGACATTGTCCAGGCCATTAAAGAGCTTGCAATCTCCTTGGAGGTCAGAGAGTCTTAGAAGTCAAGGGCGAAAGCTGCCTCAGAGGAGGTCGTTCTTGGCACGTGAGAAATCTGGGGCCAAACTCCTGAGCTACACCAAACCTGTCTCAAAACACAAAACTCTTAGAATGAGAATTTCACCAGGAAGGGTTGGGGAAAGCTGTACTGGAACACAGTGAGATTACCTTTGAAAAAAGGACCTGAATATCATCCTGAATTTCTCCTCACAGGAGCGTCAGGTAATGTATTGTTCAGGCTGGGCCCTCCATCCTAATGCCCGCTGATGAACACCTGTGAGCCGCTGTTCAGGGGCATCTTTCCTCTGATGAGTCTCAGCAGTCTTGAGCAAAGTTTAGTCTCTTTTTATTCCCAGACTCCACACCCCAGTTTCAGCTCTTACAAGTCGAAATTAGAGCAAACACCTTAGCTGGCATCCCTACAAGAAAAGGAACAGACTGCTAGTTTAATCTAGTCCGTCCAAAGAGCCCATCAAAAGATGCCTTGAGACTAGGAAGACATAAAGGAGAGGGGCCAGCAAAGCCCGAGTCACATCACGATGCCCCCCTAAGACAAGCAAGTGAAAACACTGGCCAGGTCCTGTCTGCTGTGGCCCTCATCACTTCTGTTTCCATCCTCCATTGGAGTAAGAGAAACCAACATTGTGGGTGTAGGAAAAGCACAGGTGTAATAGGGTTGGAGCATCGTGGAGGTGATTCAGAGATCAGCCACTCAAACTGGGAAGCCAAGATGTCTGTGTACCCCGGGCACTGTTAGTCAGCTGTAAAGAACAATGAAAGCTCATCATTTGCAGCTAAATAAGTGGAACTGAAAAACATTATGTTGAGACAAGTATCGCATGTCCCTCACATGTGAAAATTCTTGCAAAGTAGCCCTGATAGGTGATTGAGATGGTTCAGCCAGTAAAGATGCCTGTGGCCAGATCTGACAACCAAAGTTCTGTCTGAGGACCCACATAGAGGAAGAAGAGTCAACTGATTAGGAGGGAAAATAACAGAACTACCCATTTCACATTTTGCTCTTTCTTTTTTCATTGTGGTAGAATACACATAGCATAAAATTTATCAGGTTAACCCTTTCCAAGAATGCAGTTGTAATTTCTGGTGGCTCTAGCTGGGCAATGACATTTAACCTTTATCATGATCTATCCCCATTTTCCTCATCTCAAATAAAAACTGTATGCTCACTAAATAAGAACCCAATTGACAGACTGGAGAGAAGGCTCAGAGGTTGAGAGCCCTGTGTGCTCTTCCAGAGAACCTGGATTCAATTCCCAGCACCTATAAACAGCTCACAACTGTCTGTAACTCCAAGGTCTGACACAGTCACATGGACACACATGCAGGCAAAACACCAATGCTCATGAAATAAAATAAAATAAAAAAGAGCCAATTGAAAACTTCTTCCAGCCGTGGTTTATCTGTCTCTGGCAGATCATAATGCTTTCCTTTTCTTTCAATGTGGTCTTAGAAATACAGCCTAGGCTCTAGCATGTGCTGGGCAGTCCCTTTTGTCTCTGTGAATTTAGGTATGCTAGCAGCCTTCTGCAAGATAAATCCCAAGTATTTGTCTTTGTTTTTTTGTCGGTCAGAATAATTTTATTTAATTGCATGTTTTCGAAACTCATCCAAGAGTCCCCTTCCTCTTTAAAGCTGAGTAATTCTTGCACATGTACTCACCGCATTTGGGCATCAGGTCGTCCAGTCATCTGTCTATGGCCACTTCGCTGCTTCCAATTTTTGAGTACTGTGAATAACACTACTGCAAATGGTGGATTATTTATTGTTTTGAACCCCTCTTCTCAATTATTTTGGATGTGCTCCAGTGAGTAGAATTGCATCAGCTGGAAATATAGAATGTCTATTTGATTTTTTCACTTTTTCTGTTTTGAGATAGAATGGATTAGTTACTTTTCTGCTACTGTGTTAACCCATTACCAAAGTGACTCATCAGAGAGTTTATTTTGGCTTACAGTTCCGGCGGGAGAGTACACTATGTCGAGAGAAGTTGCTACTAGATGCTTACCCCAAACCCTGAAGGAGCTATGTCATGAAAAACTGAAACAATAACAGACCTGTAGTTGTATGTAAAGTTAAGAAAAAGAGAGCAGAATAGTCATACAAGTATTGCAGAAGAGTGCTTTTGTTTTTTACTATCTGAAGAAGAACCCAGGGTAAACTGAGTGCAATGGAAATTATCATGGCAACCTGGCAACACCATAGAAACAGCAAAGCCCGGGGCTGAAGAGATGGCTGAGAGGTTAAGAGCACTGACTGCTGTTCCAGAGGTCCTAAGTTCAATTCCCAGCGACCACATGATGGCTCACAACCATCTATAATGAGATCTGGTGCCCAGAACACTCTATACATAATAAATAATTTTTTAAAAAAAAAAAGAAAAATAGCAAAGCCTAATAAAGAATGAAGAGGCTGGTGTAGGAAAAGAGGTTTGTGGGTTTGTTTGGGATTTTTTTTTATTTTGTTTTGTTTTTACTTTAGAGGCTTAAGTTTTTTGCTAGTTGGTTGTTAGCAAGGGTCTCATATACCAGGCTGGCCTCGAACTCTTGATCCTTCTCTCTCTACCTCTAAGTTTGAGAATTACAGACATGGTGTGCCACCACATCTGGCATGGAGATGCCGAGTTTGACCATCAATACCACACGACAACACTTGCTCACCAGCACACCACAAACACATGTGGAACCCACAAAGGTTTCTCTGATTTACTTGAGAATGGTGACCGTTTTTCCCACTGTTGTGAAACTGATGTGTGTGAATCTCTTGTTTTATTCTATTTTTGAATGTAACTGGAGATTTAAGTCCCGGCTTCTTATGCGCTGGACAACTGTTCTATCACTGAGCCATAGCCCTATTTCTTTAGACTAGATTCCCTCATCATGAGCACCATTGCTACCTCAGTTCTCTGGTTTTGTTTTTGTTTATGAGAAAGCCTCATGCAGTCCACACTGGCAGTGAAATCTCTGAACCCCTGCCTCCACTTCCCAAGTGATAGGCTCACTGATGGGCACTATCATACCTGCCTTGCCTCAATATTTTTTTTTAGTGGTTTTGCTTTCCAGAAAGACTGGCCATTTATTTATCTAGTCATTTACTAACTTTTACTTCAATATAGGAAATCAACTTGATTATGTGTCTTACCTGAACGTCACCTCTTGTTTTATTATTCGTTTATTATTTCTTTTACACATCATTTCCTCTAATTTTGTTTTGTTTGGGACAGAGTCTGCTGTAGTCCAGGCTGGCCTCAAACTCAAACTCACTATATCCCTAAAGTGACCTTAGTCTTCCTGCCTCTGCCTCCCAAGTGCTACAATTGCTGTCACGCACACCACGCCTGGCTTCTCCCATCTTGCCACCACACACGAGCCTTCTCCCGTCCTACTCCCTTTCTTCCCTGAAGGCCATCATTCCAGTATACTTCAGGTTTGTGGATGTTTATTTAACATGTATGTTAGGTTCTAAATAATGCATTTTCTACTTAGGAAAATAGAATTGTGTATCTCTGCTCCCCTTTATTTTCTCTTCCTCGCCAAAGCATGTTATTTGTTTGTTTGTGTGTGTGTGTGTGTCTGTGTGTATGTGTGTGTATGTGTGTGTGCATGTGTGTGCTTAAGCACACCTGCGTGTGCCATAGCGTGTGAGTGAAGATCAGAGAACAGTTTGTGGAAGTCAGCTCTCTCCTTCCACCGTATCAGTCCCAAGGATTGAACTCAGAGCAGCAGGCTTGATGACAGGCACCTGGCACAAGGAGTCCCACACTTCCTTAAGGCAGAAGGCTTTAATGTAGCACACTAACACCAAATATGCTCACACTCTGCCCAGCTAGCCAGTCATGGTGGCACACATCTATAATCCCGACACTTGAGA